CCCCAAAACCCCAAAACCCCAAAACCCCTGTTTATTGTATTTTGATTGAAACCCTATATAAAATATTATGGCATAAACTCTCTAAATATTGTTCCAATCTTCTGGATTATCATTTGATGAATAAGAATAAAATTCTTGAAGGATTCATTACCAATTGATTTCCTGAAAATCTTTGGATTATCTTATATAAAAAGAGCTCTTCAGGCAAAAATTACTCCAATTCCTTATCTTGATTAGACAAAAAAATCAATATCTTTTATTAGCTATGATACTATTTGTCATTCTCTGTAGTTTTATTCATCGAGCATTGACAATACAAAACTGAGAAATACAAATTACTCTACTCTAATTCGACATTTCTCATTATCAAAGCTAGAAAACCATAAGAATTGTAAAAAATAAATAACCGATCATTTTCTTCCAGTTCATCATTCCGATCAAGCTAATATCTTTATTGATAAAACTATAAAAGTTGCTTCCCTAAAGAGTGGCTATAATTCTAGCCAACACCTATACATTCCTCATAAAATTATGCCATTTCTGCCGATATCTGCTCTCTGGGTTCTCCAAGACCTTCATTCCTCTGTAAGCCATGTAGATTTATAACTTGAGGCCAGCTTATTGGGGATTCTTGGTGAGCTCTTTTGTGTGAGGCGCTTGGCCTAGAATTGCTAGGAGGGAACATCTTGGGCGTGGATGGGGTGAGGCTGGAGAAGGCTGGGGGTAGGAGGGTGGGAAATAAGGTTCTTGGAGAGGAGAATAAGGGTTCTGTAGGGGTTCCTGGGTTGCGAGAGAAGTTAAATGAGGGTTTGGTTTCTTCTTTTGGGTATTTTTAGGGTGTTTAGAGGAATTTTTGGTCCTGAAAGCTATGATACTTGTTCTTTTTAAGTGACTTTTCAAAGCAGGGTTTATAAGGACTTATGTTTGAGTTGTTGGTTAAAATTGAACTTTATTGGCTTTCTATGGTATTTTTTGGATTTGAAATTGCGGGGTATTGCTTGTAAAGGCATTTGGAATCTTTCCTGTGTAAATCTGATTCCTTTTAACTAAAGGAATAGTAAAAAGTAGTTCGTACTTTTACTTTCGCTGATCTCTGATCTTGAAAATTATTTCCTATTGATTAATTCAAATGTCATACCCACAAATGAAGATGAATCTAAGATTTTCAAACCCTGATTAGTGGAGGATCTCTTTCTATGTATCGTCTTTTCTTGATAATTTGAAAATCTGTCAAATGAAGTGTATTCATCTTCTCCATCTATTTCATGAATATTAGACTTAGATTGTCTTAGGTTACCTTTGAAATCATGTGTGGTCATTTTCATTTGTGTTTGATTACCTCTTGCATAGAAGCTATTTATTGTGTTATTCAGAGAGATTCTATCTTCACTGTTGGTATCTCTGTCCAAGGTTCTAGAATTAAGAACAAAAAGCTCTACTTCTTATCTTTGCGAGAAATCACAATTCGAGTTATTCAAGAATTTGAAACATTTGAGCCTTTTGGACTTGTTGCAACGGATCATCAAACAGTCTGTGAGCCTGTTCTGTGTTTCTTGATATTAAACCTTCTCTAAAAATTAGTCTGATCTCACTTTGGCTTCTTTTGGGTTCTGAAGTTGCAAAGTGGTGCTGAACACTTGGAGATTTGTCTTGCAAGCTTGGTCTCCCAGTATTCTGATTCTACGGTTATAGCTAAGTCTTGATAAATATACTGGAGCTTACTTTTGATTTGGTTTTCTTAGGGAAATATTTTTGGACAATTTTGGAAAATGGTTTATATTATTTTGGAATCTAGTATTCCAATAAATCTTGGGTGCTTTTAAACTCTTTAGACGCTCCTTAATAAAGGTCTTTGCTAGATTTTTTGCTCTAATTTTATCCCTTTAAGTGATATGTTAAGTTTACTCTTGTTCAAGATCTGAAGAAGGCTGGGATATCTGACTTTTCTATGAAGAGTTATAGTCCAAGGAATATAATAGTCTTAAAACTTCGAGTTCAGTTCTTCTTCAATATTATTTTAAGAGGTGATTTGTGTGAAAATAGTAACTCTAAAAAAGCATCTCAATTATTTTACGAGTAATTTTATTCCAAACTATCCGAAAAGTCATAAGAGGTATAAAATTGCTTCTAAACTTATTTTACCTCTGAATTTTCTCTACTTCAGTTCATTTTTATTTGTGTGTAATATTTCAACTTAAAGCTCCCAATGGGGTTTTGGGGTTTTGGGGTTTTGGGG